TCTGGGCGGGGCCCGGTGCGAGGGGCTCCGGTCTGGGTTGGTGTCTGGGCGGCGCCCGGCGCGAGGGGCCCCGGTCCGGGTCTGGGTTGGGGTCTGGGCGGGGCCCGGCACGAGGGGCCCCGGTCCAGGTCGGGGTCTGGGCGGGGCCCGGCGCGAGGGGCCCCGGTCCGGGTCTGGGTTGGGGTCTGGGCGGCGCTTGGCGCACTGGGGGTTCCAATCTTGGTTGCAGCCGTGGGCGGATGTGTGGAGGTTGTGAGGTTGTGAGGCGCGTTGCTCTGTGTGTCTGGGGTGCAGATCTGTGTCCCGGGGCGAAGCGGGGTGTGGAGGCTCTGGGCATGTTGGCGTGGGCCTGGGGTGTATGGTTTTATGTTTTGGTGTGTGGATTGTGCTGGGCGTGGCAAGGGACTGGCCCTCTGGGACCCCCCAGCCCAGCCCCCTTTGATTCCTTTCCCTGGAGTCAGTGCTATCCAGCGTGGGGGTGGACAGGAGGGGGGAGCTGAGCGAGGGCCCTTCTCCTGTGCCCCCTACATCTGGGCAGGGCTGGTACAGCCTCGAGACGGGGGTGGGGATTCCCATGCGTGGCTCTGAGAGGGGCAGGCAGGTCCCATGCACCCTGGTGTGGGAAGGTGGGTATGTGGGGCTGGGGGGGTCCCGTGCCTGGGTCCGCAGGGTGGGGTTCCCACGCCCCTAGCTGGAGGGTCCGGCACAGCCTAGCTCTAGATGGGAGGGGCCTGGCTCCTGTGCGCCTTTACCTGGAGGGCAGGGGGTGTCCATGTGCCCTTGTCCGCCAGCGGGGAGTGGGGGTCCCTTCCCCCGTGCATCCTGGCTGAGGGTGGGTGGGGGCCCGGTGTGGTTGGTGGGGGCCCAGCTCGGGGTGCAGAGGGTGGGGGCCTGGCTGTGGGTGGGTGGGGTGGTGGCCCAGTGTTCAGGGCGGGGGCCTGGCTGGCGGTGGGGGCCCTGCTGAGGGTGGGGGGCCCAGCGTGGAGGGGGGCTGGTGTGCAGGGTGGGGGCCTGGCTGTGGTGGGAGGGCTGGGGCCCGGTGGGTGGGGGCTCTGCTGGGGGTGGTGGGGGCTGGCTGGGGAGGGGCCAGGGGGGCCGGGCGGGGGCAGCCGTGTGCGGCCGGCTCGGGGCTGATCAATATTCGATTTAGGTGCTAATTCGCCGCTTTTCTGCAGCTGTCAGCGGGTGATGTATCGGGGGGGGCGGGGGTCGCCGCCAGCCCAAGCCGGCTCCGCACTAACAATAGAGACGGGGGAATATTATTTATGGGCTTGGACGGGGGGGTCGCGGCTGGGGCCGCACGATGCCTCCTTGGCCATGAATGACGGGGGCCGTCGGACAATTTAACACACACCCAGAGACAGACCCGGGCGGGGGGCAGCCTGGCCCCCCCCATACGGTGTCCCGCCTCGCCCCAGCCGCAGCCCCCCAGCCCCGGCCTGACAGCTGCTGAGAGACACCTGGGCAGGGAACTGGGGGGGGCTCCCATGTGGGGGGGTGGGGAGAGAGAGCTTAAAATTGGGGAGACAAGGGGGTGGGGGAGCTCCTGGGGTGCTGAGGGGGGTGATGGGTTGATGGTGCCACGGGAAGGAAACCGGGGGGTTGATGGACACTATGAGACAAGGTGGGGCCCCTCACATGGCCACCCCGCGCCCTCTCCCCCAAGTGCCCAGAGGTTGGGGGCAAAGCCGGGGAGATCCTGTCAGACCAGTTGGAGAAAGGCCCTGCCAGGGTGCTGGGTCTGGGGGGGACAAAGCCCCCACCCCCCATGGGGAGACTTCAGAGCCACAGTGCAGCTGGGTGGGAGGCTGCGTGTGTGGGGTAAGGGTAAGGGGGTACCCCAGCTGCTGAGGGGGGACTGGAGGGTAAGGGGGTACCCCAGCTGCTGAGGGGGGACTGGAGGGTAAGGGGGTACCCCAGCTGCTGAGGGGGGGTAAGGGGGACTCGGTTTAAAAGTTGAAACGGGGAATGGACCCCTCAATAATCTGTCTCCATCCCTCACCCCCCAACACCGAGCTACGAGTGGGGAGCATTGAACTGGGGGGCAGGAAAATTGGGGACACCCCCAATACAGTACTATAATCTGTTCCTGCCACATCACCAGGGGAAACCCTGACACACAACCTGCCCCCCTTTAAAAAGCGGGGTCCCCTTGGCAGCCAAAGGCCACAGGGATCCAGCTCCAAGGCAGGGCCCCCCAAGTGTGTATGGGGGATCCCAGGGAAGGGAAGTGGGGTATCTTAGCTTCCAGTCTTACCACTGACGGGTTTGAATTACTTTTGAGCTGGCTGCAATGGGGGGGGGGGTGATGGGCCACATTCGCAGGCAGCCCTGGCAATGTTTGACTTGTGCGGGGAGCTGGGGCACCCCAAGTGGCGCTTAGGACCCCGCTGCACCAGGCATGGTACGAACACAGCCAGGCCACAGCCCTCCTTGGGGTGTGAGCCACAGAGCCCAGCCCCCCGAAATCCCCAGCCCCCCGAAATCCCTAGCCCCCAGTCTTCTGCTGATGCTGGCAGGAGTCAGGGTGCTCCCAGACCCCCTAATTCAGGACTCAGTAGGATTGGGCCCCTTTAAAGTGTCTCCAAGCTGGGGTCTCCTAAATAGGGAGGGGCCCTGACTGTAGGTGTTTGAATGGTCCAAGGCCTAAGTGAGATGGGGAATTGGGAGTGGGGGGATATTTATGACAAGGACAACGCCCCGTCCCCCTCTCCCCCCGTGCCCCCAGCGCGGAGCAGGGTGGGATCAGCTGCTCTGTACAGGGTAGGTGTGAACGGGACACACCCAAACAGCCCCTCATGTGCCCACTGCCCCCACTTGGGAGCCGCCCTCTCTGCCCTGTTCAGCCCCCGCAACACCGCTGGGAACTGGGCTGTGCAAATTGAGGGGTAGTCAATGGGGCCGGATCAGGGAAGGTGCCTCCTAGAGGGGACAGGCCCCGTGCCCCATTCCCCGCCCCCCCGAGCCAGCCACTCCCTGCCCTGGGGCCAGATGGGAGCCAGCACCCTGGAGAGGGGACAGGCCCCATGCCCCATTCCCCGCCCCCCTGAGCCAGCCAGTCCCTGCCTTGGGGCTGGATCAGGGCCAGTGCCCCCTGGAGGGGACAGCCCCCGCCCCATTCCCCACCCCAGAGGTGTTGGAACTAGGGGGCTGCCGCTCCCCCAGGCTGGATGTGGTTTCCATCATACCCAGGGTTTACAGTTTGGTTCAATGGCTCTCAGCCCCCCACTACACACGTTTCTCCAGTCCCCCTGTCCCGTCCCCTGAGCCAGCCAGCCCCCCACCCTGGGACCAGTTCAGAGCCTAGAGGGGAAAGACCCCAGGTCCCCTTCTCTTTAATTAAGGGCCAGGCCTGTTAATTTGTCATTTCCCAGTTCCCATCTCCCCTAGGGCCTTGGCCGCCTTTCAGCCCTTGGTGCCAGGCGCCCTCTGTTGCTGGGGGCCCCCCTGTGATTGGGGACCGCCCAGCCAGGTCTCCCCCAGAACAGCTGGTGAGGGGCGAATGCTCGGGGGTTCTGTCCTTGCCCCATCAGTCTCTCTGCCAGCTCACCTGCCCCTCCCGGCCTGACCTGGGGACAATCCCCCTTCCCTGCAGAGGAGCGATTCTGTCCCGTCCTGGCCCCATCTGCCCGCAGCCCCCATTATGTTCTTCGTTCCCTCTTTTTCCACTCCCCCCCTCCCCCCCACTGTCTGCGTCTCTGTCTTCTTCAGTCTGTCCGTCCCACGCCTCCGTTCCCCGTCCCCCCCTCGCTGCGTCGCCCCAGCCAGGATCACATGGAAATCCATCAATGAGGGAAGGATGTTCTCAATAGGCCGGAAGATGGATAAAGGCGCACGCCTTGATTACAATCCCTGTCTGCCGCACTTTAATTAACACTTTAGTTAATTAGTTCGGGCCCATTTACGAGTAAAATGTTTTTATTAGGGAATTTGCATGATGGCCCGGCGTGATGAATTGATGTGTTAGCCAAACTATCCGACTGTTCTTAATAGATAATAAACAGGAATCAATCAGCCGACTCCGACAGCCACCTGACACTCGGCACCACCCCACCGGGCCTCCTGCCCCGCGGCCTGGGGGTGCCTGGAGGCCCGCTCCAGATGTGCCCCCACCGGACACCCGGGTTGAGATGCAGCCGTCTCTGGGGTGGGGCACAGGGGCTGGTTATATGGGGACCCACCCCCGGCGCTGGGACGCAGCCCCTCTGGGGTGGGACGCAGGAGCCCATGGGGCTCTGTATACAGGGACCCCTCGCCCGGCGCTGAGCGGCTGCAGACACGAGGGGCAGCCCTGGCTGTGGGGGGAAGCCCCCCCCGACCAGAGCCATCCCAGGGGGGCTGGCGGCCGCATCCAAGCCCCGAGCTAACCGGACCCTGGGGGCCGGGTGGCGGAGCCGGGGTCCAGGATGCGTGTGACCCCCCGAGCCACGTCCAGTGCTCGGGAGAAGGGCGCCACCCTGTGGCCGCGCCGCGCTACTGCAGCTCTGTGGAGGGGGGCCGGGCTGGGAACAGCGACGCCTGGCGGGGACCGGGGGGCGGGGGCAGGACGGGCGAGGGGTCCCAGTGTGACCAACCCCCGCCCCCCCCAGAGGGGCCGCGTCCCAGCGCCGGGGGAGGGGTCCCCGTATAACCGGCCCCCGCCCCACCCCAGAGGGGCCGCGTCCCAGCGCCGGGGGAGGGGTCCCCGTATAACCGGCCCCCGCCCCACCCCAGAGGGGCCGCGTCCCAGCGCCGGGGGAGGGGTCCCCGTATAACCGGCCCCCGCCCCCCCCAGAGGGGCCCGTCCCAGCGCCGGGGGGGGGTCCCAGTGTGACCAACCCCCGCCCCCCCAGAGGGGCCGTCCCAGCGCCGGGGGAGGGGTCCCTATAACCGGCCCTCGCCCCACCCCAGAGGGGCCGCGTCCCAGCGCCGGGGGAGGGGTCCCCTATAACCGGCCCCCCCCCACCCCAGAGGGGCCGCGTCCCAGCGCCGGGGGAGGGATCCCCGTATAACCGGCCCCCGCCCCACCCCAGAGGGGCCGCGTCCCAGCGCCGGGGGAGGGGTCCCCGTATAACCGGCCCCCGCCCCACCCCAGAGGGGCCGCGTCCCAGCGCCGGGGGAGGGGTCCCCGTATAACCGGCCCCCGCCCCACCCCAGAGGGGCCGCGTCCCAGCGCCGGGGGAGGGGTCCCCGTATAACCGGCCCCCGCCCCACCCCAGAGGGGCCGCGTCCCAGCGCCGGGGGAGGGTCCCTGGACTCTGGCCCTCGGGAATCGCGGATCCTGGACTCGGCCACGCGTTGCTTCCAGAGACACTTGAGGGGCCCCGAGCAGCCCGGCCTGCGCTCTCCGGCCGTGGGGGGCCCACTTCGAATCTTCCCTCCCCAGCGCCCCCCTGGTGGCAGATGAGCTGGGAGTCTCAGCCCCCTCTCTGGGCTGGACAGGCTGGGGGCCTGAATTACCTCCCTGCCCCAGAGGTCAGCCCAGCGGCCTCCTCACTGACCCACCCAGCCGGCTTTACCCCGGAATGGTCCCTTTCAATTCAGCCCGGGGAGGGGGCTGCGAGCCAGGACTCCTGGGTTCTATTTTGGCTCTGGGAGGGGAGTGGAGGCTAATGGTTACAGCAGGGGGTCTGGGAGCCGGACTCCTGGGTCCCCTCTTGCTGGGGGGCCCTGCTGCTGACTGTGACACCCCTGCCCCCCACAGGGTGACGTAGGGCTGGCCATGGGGAAACTCTACGGCAACGACTTCAGCCAGACGACCATCTCCCGCTTCGAGGCCCCGAACCTCAGCGTCAAGAACATGTGCAAGCTGAAGCCGCTGCTGGAGAAGTGGCTCAATGATGCCGGTGAGGGGGGGACAGCTGGGACCTCTGGGAGGGAGGCCTGGGGACCTGGGGGGCCCAGCTGGTCGTGACTGGGACTTTGTGGATGGGCAACACAGAGGGGGGTATCAGGCTTTGGTCTGGGGGGCTCCTGGGGTTGGGATCCATCTGTGTGCTGAGTGTCTATGGGCTTTGGGGCCCGGGGGTGGGGCTGGGAGCCAGGACTCCTGGGTTCTCATCTGACCCACTGCAATTCCCTTGTCTTCTGACCCCGAGCCACTTCTAGGGGGCGGGGGAGGGGTTCCTGAACTAGTGTCTGTGGGGTGTCCCCAGCACTAGGGAGCGTGAGGGGTTAACACCCCCCCCCCCCCGCACTGTCAACCCCAGTGACTGGCCAGGCCACCAGGAAGACGAATAGGGCAGCAATGAGCCGCAGCCAGGCCGAGATGAATGGGCCGGGGGGGGGGGTAGAACAGAGGCCCCATCGCCCCCATGCACCAGGTCCATTAACGGGGCAGCTTAAACTCCCATCCGTCAGCCGGGCCCCGCGGCACCCAACGATGGATGGGAAACCGAGGAGCTGGATCCCGGCCACCAAAGGGCCATCGCTCTGCGGGGCCAGACAGCGGGAGTGAGTCACACAGGGACTGTGCTGGGGCCAGGACTCCTGGGTTCTCTCCGGGCTCTGGGAGGAGAGTGGGGTCTAGTGGTTAGAGTGGGGGGGGCTGGGAGCCAGGACTCCTGGGTTCTCTCTGGGCTCTGGGAGGAGAGTGGGGTCTAGTGGTTAGAGGGGGGGGCTGGGAGCCAGGACTCCTGGGTTCTCTCTGGGCTCTGGGAGGAGAGTGGGGTCTAGTGGTTAGAGCAGGGGGGGGCTGGGAGCCAGGATTCCTGGGTTCTCTCCCGGGATCGGGGTGTTTCTGCCAACAGGCCAGTCAATGAGTGGCAGAGACAGGGAGTGGCTGGGCTGAACTCAACCCTGAACTTTCCAACTCTACTCGGCCCCTCCCCCCCTTTGTGTCACTCACCCGCAGTTCCGGCTAGCCCAGACCTGCCCCCCCAGCCCTGCCGGTGCCCCTCACTCCCGACCCGCAGCCCCTGCCAGCCCAGCCCTGCCCCCCCAGCCCTGCCGGTGCCCCTCACTCCTGACCCGCAACGCCCGCTAGCCCAGCCCTGCCCCCCAGCTCTGCCAGTGCCCCTCACTCCTGACCTGCAACCCCCGCTAGCCCAGCCCTGCCCCCCCAGCCCTGCCGGTGCCCCTCACTCCTGACCCGCAGCCCCCGCTAGCCCAGCCCTGCCCCCCCAGCTCTGCCGGTGCCCCTCACTCCCAACCCGCAGCCCCTGCCAGCCCAGCCCTGCCCCCCCAGCTCTGCCGGTGCCCCTCACTCCTGACCCGCAACCCCCGCTAGCCCAGCCCTGCCCCCCAGCTCTGCCAGTGCCCCTCACTCCTGACCCGCAACCCCCGCTAGCCCAGCCCTGCCCCCCCAGCCCTGCCAGTGCCCCTCACTCCCGACCCGCAACCCCTGCCAGCCCAGCCCTGCCCCCCCAGCTCTGCCGGTGCCCCTCACTCCCGACCCGCAGCCCCCGCTAGCCCAGCCCTGCCCCCCCAGCTCTGCCGGTGCCCCTCACTCCTGACCCGCAGCCCCTGCTAGCCCAGCCCTGCTGACACCCCTTGAGCCAGATCCCTCTATTTTTCTCTCTTGTTTTTAAAGGCTCCCCCCTGCCTCCCCCAGAGCGTTATGACTTCATCTTCCGCGCAGGCTGGAGGCAGCGGGAAATAAATCTTCATAAAGCCGGGGTTGTGATTAATCCCTGGGCCAAGGCTGGGGAGCGGGACCTTTCCCATTAGTGGCTAATAGGAAGATGGAGAGGGCCTGTCGCTGGCAGTGGCCGCCCGTCATTTGTTCCACTTTGCAGCCCATTTGGCGGCGGGACTGCGCGGCACTCCATCAAAAATATTTTCAGAGTTAATTTCCGACCCTTAATCTGCCTGATTCTTATTTTGTATCGAATGGCAGAATCGATTTTCGTAGCGACTAAATTAAATAAGGGCTGTTTTCATGCATGGGGGAGCCCGGGGGGGAGATGGGGGCGTGGGGCTAGAGAGCTGGATGGATGGATGGATAATGAAGGGTCCATGGCCGGGGGAAGGGCATGAAAGTGCTGGATGTGGCTGTGGGTGCTATGGGGAGGATGAGGGCTGTGGGGGGCTGCTATGGAGTTGGGGGTGGGGAGGATGGTTATGAGGATGGAGCTATGGGGGGGCCATGGGGAGGATGGGTCCCTCTTCCCAGCCCTTCTGCATCACACCTCCCGCTAGGTGGGGGGCCCAGAGGGTTTCCCCTCCTCACCCCTGCCCCACTGGATCCCTGGGGGGGCGGGATTTCTGACCCCGCCCCCCAGAGCTGCCTTTTTCTCTCTCCTCCATTTATCTCATTTTGTGTTACTGACAATTTGACACAAACATCACCAGGAATCGGGGGTCCCCTGCAGCCCCTGCCTATGGGGGGAATGGGTTTGCGCCGCCCGGCCCAGCCCTCACCCGGAGCTGGGGAGAGAACCCAGGAGTCCTGGCTTCCAGGCCCCCTCTAACCACCTGGCCCCACCCCCCTCCCAGAGCCTGGGAGAGAACCCAGGCGTCCGGCCATCTCCCTCTCACCAGGGAGCTCCTCCCACACCTGATTCAGCCCAACCCACTGGGGGGAGATTCCTGGGCTCACAGCACCACCCAGCGGAGAGCAGGGGAAATGCCGGTGCCCCTCACTCCCGACCTGCAGCCCCCCCAGCCCGCCGTGCTGAGCCACTTACAGTAATAGCAACAGCCCCCCCGCCCCCCCTTTCAGGTCCAAAGTCTGACCCTGACGGGGTGGAGCCGCGGAGCCAAATATTTACCCACGCTCTCCGTTGCCTGGCAACCGGTGAGCGTCTTCCCCTCCCCCCCGCAGGTCCAACCCGCTACGCAGCCCCCCGCTGCTGAGGTCCCCCCCCATACCACCATGGGCTCCCAGCCCCCGCTCTAGCCACCAGACCCCACTGCCCCCCCCCGAGCCAGGGAGAGAACCCAGGAGTCCTGGCTCCCAGCCGCGCCCCTGTGTCACGGAGTGTGGGGGGTCCGGGGCCTGCACCCCCTTCCTGGGATTCACTGAGACTCTCAGTAAACTCTTTTTACTCTTCAGTAAAACGGAAGGTTTATTGGACAACAGGAACACAGTCCAAAACAGAGCTTGTGGGTACAACCAGGACCCCTCAGTCAAGTCCTTCTGGGGGAGCAGGGAGCTTAGACCCCAGCCCTGGGGTTCCCTGTGTTCCTCCACCCAGCCCCAAACTGAAACTAAACCCCCCCAGCAGGATCCCTCCTGCAGCCTTTGACCAGTTTCCTGGGCAGGGGTGTCACCTCCCCCTCCCGGCTCAGGTTACCGGCTCTCAGGTCTCCCATCCCCAGGGAAACTCCCCTGCCACATTCCCAGGTCAACACTCCCCCCACCCTGCTGCGTCACACCTTGCTCTAACCCTCTACACCCCACTCCCCTCCCAGAGCTGGGAAAGAAACCAGGAGTCCTGGCTCCCAGCCCCGCCCCCCCCAGCTCTAACCCTCTACACCCCACTCTCCTCGAGAGAACCCAGGAGTCCTGGCTCCCAGCCCCCACCCCTGCTCTAACCTTCTATGCCCCACTCTCCTCCCAGAGCTGGGGAGAGAACCCAGGAGTCCTGGCTCCCAGCACCCCCCCCCCGGCTCTAACCCTCTACACCCCACTCTCCTCGAGAGAACCCAGGTGTCCTGGCTCCCAGCCCCCACCCCTGCTCTAACCCTCTACACCCCACTCCCGTTCCAGAGCTGGGAGAGAACCCAGGAGTCCTGGCTCCCAGCCCCCACCCCTGCTCTAACCCTCTACGCCCCACCCCCACTCCCCTCCCAGAGCTGGGGAGAGAACCCAGGAGTCCTGGCTCCCAGCCCCCACCCCTGCTCTAACCTTCTATGCCCCACTCTCCTCCCAGAGCTGGGGAGAGAACCCAGGAGTCCTGGCTCCCAGCACCCCCCCCCCCGGCTCTAACCCTCTACACCCCACTCCCGTTCCAGAGCTGGGAGAGAACCCAGGAGTCCTGGCTCCCAGCCCCCACCCCTGCTTTAACCCTCTATGCCCCACTCCCCTCCCAGAGCTGGGGAGAGAACCCAGGAGTCCTGGCTCCCAGCCCCCCGGCTCTAACCCTCTATGCCCCACTCCCCTCCTAGTATCTGGGACATCTCACAGAACTCCCTACCCTGGGCCCCAGCCATTGTCCAAACTTCCTCCCCAGCTCCCCCCCCAGGTATAAGAGGGACCCGCCCAGCCCCACCTGCACCCTTCAAATTTCACAGCTCCAGGAACTGCTGCAGTTCTTCTGCCACCAGCAAACACCAGGTAAGGAGGCTGCTGGCACCTGGCCCAGCCCTCAGGGGCTGCGTGCCAAGGACCCCGGCTCAGCTTCAGTCTGCTAGCAGAGGGCTGGGGATCAGGAGTGAGGGGCACTAGCAAATCTGGGGAAAACCCAGGGCTGGGGGGGCAGCGGGTCGGGAGTGAGGGGCACTGGCAGAGCTGCGGGGGCAGGGCCGGCCTAGCAGGGGGCTGTGGGTCGGGAGTGAGGGGCACCGGCAGAGCTGGGTGGGGGGGGCAGGGCCGGCCTAGCAGGGGGCTGCGGGTCAGGAGTGAGGGGCACCGGCAGAGCTGGGGGGGGCAGGGCCGGCCTAGCAGGGGGCTGCGGGTCAGGAGTGAGGGGCACCGGCAGAGCTGGGGGGGGCAGGGCCGGCCTAGCAGGGGGCTGCGGGTCGGGAGTGAGGGGTACCGGCAGAGCTGGGGGGGCGGGGCAGGGCCAGCCTAGCAGGGGGCTGCGGGTTGGGAGTGAGGGGCACCGGCAGAGCTGTGAGGGGCAGAGTCGGCCTAGCAGGGGGCTGCGGGTTGGGAGTGAGGGGCACCGGCAGAGCTGTGAGGGGCAGAGTCGGCCTAGCAGGGGGCTGCGGGTCGGGAGTGAGGGGCACTGGCAGAGCTGTGAGGGGCAGAGTCGGCCTAGCAGGGGGCTGCGTGTTGGGAGTGAGGGGCACCAGCAGAGCTGGGGGGGGCGGGGCAGGGCCGGCCTAGCAGGGGGCTGTGGGTCAGGAGTGAGGGGCACCGGCAGAGCTGGGCAGGGGTCTCTTGGGGCAGGGCCCGAGGACTCTGGGACATTCGCCTGCTTTTCAGTTTCGGCCGCAGCCTCGGGTTTCTGTCTCGGTTTGATTCGTTAGCTCAGCTGCCTGAACCCCACATCATGGCCTGGCAAGAGCACAACCCCTGTTCATCCGGTGCCCCTCACTCCCGACCCGCAGCCCCCGCTCCCCCAGCCCTGGGCTCCCCTCCCCCAAATTGCAGTAAAGATCCTCCAGTTCATTGTTTGTTTGCCCCGGGGTGTGACCTCCCCACACGCCCCCACACCTCCGTCACCGCCGGGCGTTTCCCCCCTGCCCAGACTTGCCGGGGGGGGGCCCTGGGGGCTGGAGAATCGCCAAGAGCTGAATCAGGAGCTGGGCTGCTCAGGGGAGTGCCAGGGGGGTGGGGTTCAGCCCCTTGTCCCCAGCTCCACAATCTGTCCCTGCCCTGGCCGGTGTCCCCTCAGCCCCCCATGTTCCCCTCTTCCCCGGGGCTCTCCCTGGCTCAGGCAGCTGGGGCTCGGTTGGCTGCACCCCTTAGGTGACTGGGGAGGGTTTGGGGGGTCCAGTCCGGGCTGACACCCCCGTGTGTCCCCAGGCTGCACCATGGCCTATCAGGCGGAGACCGTGCAGCCCGGCCGGGTGCAAACCAGCTACTCCTACGGCACCTCCAGCGCCTGGAGCTCCGGGATGTGCGACTGCTTCGCAGACATGGGCGTGTGTGAGTGGAGGGGGGGCCCAGCGGGGTTGGGGGGGATGTCGGGGGAGGGGGGTTCCCAGGGGGGCTGTGGGGAGGCTGGGGGGGTTCTGAGGTGGAGATGTCAGGGGAGGGGGTCCCAGTGGGGGTTATGGGGAGACTCGGGGGCGGGGTCCCAGTTTTTAGCTCTGTAACCCCCCCCCCACAGGTCTCTGCGGTACCTTTGTGCCCTGCATCCTGGCCTCCCAGGTGTCCCAGGACTTCGGCGAGTCCTGCCTCCTGCCCTGCCTGCCGGGCACCCTGCTGGCCCTGCGCACAGGGGTACGGGAACGGTACCACATCGAGGTGAGGCCGGGGGGGACCGGGGGCAGTTTCCAACCAGAGCCGGGTTTCTCCACCCCAGCGCGCTCCCCCTCAAGCTAAGTGTGGCCTCTCCAGCCAACACCCCAGCCCTGCAGGGGCCCAGCCCCACCTGCCCCCTCCCCACTCGGCCAGCGGCACTGACCTGGTGAGGAGTAAAACCTCCTGCCCCGGATGGAGCCAGCCTGGGCACGTCTGCCCATGGCCCAGCCGTTGCTAGCTGAACAATGCCAATGCTGGGGACGTGGGGCTGAGCCCTGTGTGCTCAGGCTGGTAACCGAAGAGGGAAACTGAGTCACACGTAAGCGTCCGGAAAGATCAACGCCGTCGCTCCCCCGTGTTGGTGCAGAGCTGGACAAATTCCAACTCGAAAGAAGGTGAAAATTCCTCGCCAGGTGGGGAACCAGCCTCTGGGACAACTCCCACAGGGCTGGGCTGGGTTCTCCGGTGCTGGGGCGGGGGGCGGAGGGGGGTTGGCTGGTTTTCCCAATGCTAGGATTTCTTTTCCCACTTTTCACCCCCCCATCCCCCGTGGCGAGGTCCGTGACCAGGGCCTGTGTGAGGCCGGGCGCTGCCTGCCGGGCGGTATTGGTGACGTTCATAACGACTTCATGTCAACGCCCGGCTCTTCCAGGCACGTCTGGCTTATAGCCTGTAAATCTGTGCCCAGAGGGGCCCCCCCTGCCCCGCTAACCCCTCTCTCCCCACAGGGCAGTATCTGCGACGACTGGCTCGTCATGGCCTGCTGTGGGCCCTGCGGCCTTTGCCAGCTGTCCCGGGAGCTGTCGCACCGGAGATGATGGGCCAGGGGACCCCCGGCTCCGGCTAGAGGGCTCTGAACTGTCGCTGCAGCTGGAAGAAAATCTCTTGCCCCCCCCTCCCTTGCCTGGGGAGGAGTACAGGGACAGTGGAGGAGCCCCTGCCCCCACCCCCAAACTCCCTAAATAAATAACCTCTCAAACTCTTTGCAGTAGCCTGTGTTTATTAGTGGGGCCCCACACGCTGCATCCTCGGGGGCGGTGGGAGGATGTGGCTGGGGGGGGAATGAAAAATATTAGATAAATAGGCATATGGGGCAGAGATAACTACAGTGCACCACATGGGGAGAGTTAAGGGTACAGGTGCGCACACACCGAGGGGGGAGTTAAGGGTACAGGCACTGATGAGCTGCCAAAATCTTAACATCGGGTTCCCTCCTCACCCCCCGAGGGGGTCGTTGCCCACCCCTGCCCCCAGGGACTCCTGCCCCATCCAACCTCCTTGCGTTCCTTGACACACACCCCCGGACCTCTGCCCCATCCACCCCCCTCCCCTGTCCCATGACTGCCCCCAGAACTGGGCAGGAGGGTCTCGTGGGCCACCGTAGTGGGTGCCCACCCTGCCCCTAAGAGCCAGAGGGACCTGCCGGGGGGCGAGGTGGGGAGTCCCGGTGGTGCTTACGTGGGGCAGCTCCCTCTGGCTCCTAGGGGTGGGGGAGCATAGCTGGGGGGAGCCGGGGGAGCGGCCGCTCCCCCCGCTGATCACATCAAAAGTGGTGCCTTAGGCACCGACTCCCTGGGTGCTCTGGGGCTGGAGCCCCCACTGGCAGCTCCCCGCCCGGCCCCAGCTCACCTCCGCTCGGCCTCCTCCCCTGAATGCGCTGCCCCGCTCTGCTTCTCTGCCCCGCCCCGGCTTCCCGCAAATCAGCTCTTCGGCGGGAAGCCGGGGGGGGGGGGCTGAGAAACAGGTGGCGGCTTTGCGCTCAGGCCGAGGGAGGCGGAGGGGAGCTGGGGCGGGCGGTTCCCCTGCGGGCCCCCTCCCGGGTTACGTGCTGCGGTGTGGGCGGCCCTCCTCGCCCCCCCCCCGCTCCAGGTCAGAAGCAGAGCGGGCAGCGCAGGGGGGGAGGGGGAGCGGAGGGGAGCTGGGGCCGGGGGTGGGGCGGGGGGCTGGCGGTGGGGGCTCTGCACCCACCAAATTTTCCCCGTGGGGGCTCCAGGGCTGGAGCACCCGTGGAGCTGGTGCCCAAGGCGCCACTTTGGGTGGTTAAATTTAGAAGCTCTCACGGGACAACCGGTTCTAAAAGGGCTTCTACATTTAACAACCGGTTCGGGCTTCAGCTCACCACTGAGTACAGGTGAATGCAGATGGGGGGGAGTTAAGGATACAGGCGCACCCACCGGCGTGGAGGAAAGCGCACAGGCACCGGGGGCAGAGTTACGGCTACAAGCACACTGAGGGGAGAGTTAAGGGTACAGGCGCACACGTACCGGGAGGAGTTAAGAATACAGGTGCACGCACTGGGGGGGAGTTTAGGGTACAGGCACACAAAACAGGGGAGAGTTAAGGGTACAAGTGCACGCACAGGGGAGAGTTAAGGGTACAAGTGCACCCTGGGGAAGTGAGTTAAGGGTACAGATGCACACACACAGGAAGGGGGCAAGTTAAGGGTACAGGCACACACACTGGGGGGAGGTGAGGGTACATGTGCACAGACACGGGAAGTTAAGGGTACAGGTGCACCCCCAGGGGGAGGTAAGGCTACAGGCACACACAGATTGGGGGGAGAGTTAAGGGTAGAAGCACACACATGCACTGGGCAGCAAGTTACGGGTACAAGTGCACACACGCATGGGGCTCGCTAAGGGGGAAGCCGCGCCCTCACAGATGGTGCTGCGGGTTTTTGCCGGGCAATGGGCACATCTGGATTTTTTAAGGGCCGCCAAGGTCCCAGGTGCGAAGCCGCTGTCGGTGGGCTGGGGCCGTAGGACGTGCCATGGACCCTGGGACTTGTTCATGGCCCCTCCTGCTGCAGCCAGACCCTTATGGGGGGCAATTAAGTGGTGACATTACTATAGATGGGGTGCAGGGGGGGACTCACGCTGGCTGCTCTTATGGTCCCTTCTGGCCTTCTCTGTGGGAGGAGGCAGAGGGGTTGGGGGGGTCTCTGCCCCCTGCTCCTGTACAGCTTGGGCAGACACATGTGGCCCCAGGGACCACCCCCATTTTGGTGGGGGGCGGGGCGGCTACACAGGGGGCTGTCCAGGGAAGCAGGAGCCAGATGCAGGTTCTGCACCCCCACATCAGTGAGAGCAGGGAATGGGGGGCTGGGGCCAGTTATGGGGGTCCAGGCTGCTGGCCTCTCCCCCCATCCACCTGCAGCTTGGCAGGGAAAGTTGAGAGCTAGCTGTCAAAGCGGTGCCCGTTCATTTGCATACATGCAAATGAGGCCATTAAATAATTTGCATAAGAGCCGTTCCAATAAAGGAAGGGGTTGACACCCCCCCACTCCGAAGCCCTCTAACCTCCCTCCTGCCCCCCATGGCCGCCCCAGGCCCCATAGCTCGTCCCCGAGACCACGCCCCGTATCGCCCCAGCATAGGCCTGGAGGGGCCTACACCCCCACACCCCACGGGCCCCTCCTGCTCGGTGGGGGGCGGAGCTGGACTCCACCTCCCACAAGCCTTTGCTGCCCGGACTCCATTTCCCGGCATGCACCGCTCCCCCCGCCCCAAAGTTCCGCTTTGCCCCCGCCCCCCCCGTCCCGGTTGCCACGTCGAGGGTCGCCCGGCCGCGCGGGACCAGGGCAGGTGAGGGCAGCCGTCGCCATGGCAACCCGGGATGCAGCAGTCCCGCCTCCCTCCTGCATCCCCCCCCGCCCGGGCGCCCCAGTCCCCTCCCCCGGCAGCCAGCCCGCCCCCGGGGCCGGCGGGGGGGGGCCGGCGCCTGGTTTCACGTCCTGCCCCCCCTCTCTCCGCAGCCCCCGGGCGCCGAGCACCATGGCCGGGAAAGCCGGCTCGGAGCATCCCTTCACCCCGCCCGCCGAGCACGAGGCTGCGGGACCCCTCGGCACCAAGTGGGGAGCTGCGACCGCCCCAGCGGGGTGATGGGGGCGCCGTGGGGCGGGGAGCGGGGCTGGGGGCGCCGTGGGGGGCGGGGAGCGGGGCTGGGGGGCGCCGTGGGGGGCGGGGAGCGGGGCTGGGGGCGCCGTGGGGCGGGGAGCGGGGCTGGGGGCTCAGTAGGGGGCGCCATGGGGGGCGGGGAGCGGGGCTGGGGGCTCAGTCGGGGGCGCCGTGGGGCGGGGAGCGGGGCTGGGGGCTCAGGGGGCGCCGTGGGGCGGGGAGCGGGGCTGGGGGCTCAGTAGGGGGCGCCATGGGGGGCGGGGAGCGGGGCTGGGGGCTTAGGGGGCGCCGTGGGGCGGGGAGCGGGGCTGGCGGCTCAGTAGGGAGCGGGGCGGGGAGCGGGGCTGGGGGCTCAGTAGGGGGCGCCGTGGGGCGGGGGCGGGGCTGAGGGCTCAGTAGGGGCGCCGTGGGGCGGGGAGCGGGGCTGGGGGCTCAGTGGGGGCTGGCGGCTCAGTAGGGAGCCGTGGGGCGGGGAGCGGGGCTGGGGGCTCAGTAGGGGGCGCCGTGGGGCGGGGAGCGGGGCTGAGGGCTCAGTAGGGGGCGCCGTGGGGCGGGGAGCGGGGCTGGGGGCTCAGTCGGGGGCGCCGTGGGGCGGGGAGCGGGGCTGGCGGCTCAGTAGGGGCTGCCATGGGGGGCGGGGAGTGGGGCTGGGGGCGCCGTGGGGCGGGGAGCGGGGCTGGGGGCTCAGTAGGGGGCGCCATGGGGGGCGGGGAGCGGGGCTGGGGGCTCAGTCGGGGGCGCCGTGGGGCGGGGAGCGGGGCTGGCGGCTCAGTAGGGGCTGCCATGGGGGGCGCTCTGACTCTCAGGGGCCCCGTCTCTCCCCCCGGCCCCAGGATCTCCATCCCGGCCCTGCTGCCCCAGGGCCCCGCCAAGAAGTGGCTGGAGCAGCGTCGGGCCGCCCTGCGCCCCTGGGCCACCTTCGCGGACCAGCGCCGGTTCGGGAAGCCCCGGAACTTGGGGGAGGTCTGCCAGCGCCTGGCGCGGAACGTGGAGTATTTCCAGAGCAACTACGTCCTCGTCTTCCTGGGCCTCGTCCTCTACTGCCTGTGAGCCGGGGCAGGGGGCAGTGGACGGGGGTGGCGGGGGGGCAGGGCAGGTGGACAAGGGCCCAGGGGCAGGGGGAGGGGCAGGTGGACCAGGGCCCGGGGCCAGGGGCAGGGGGGCAGTGGAGGGTGGACCAGGGGCAGGGGGCAGGGCAGGTGGACCGGGGCAGGGGGCAGTGGATGGGGTGCAGGGGGGCAGGGCAGGTGGATCAGGGCCCAGGGGCGCTGGTGGAAGGGGGCCGGGGGGGGCCCTGGAATCGGCTGGTTCTGCGAAGGCTGCCGGGGGGGGGCTGAGCCTGGGGGCGGGGGGCCTCTCGGATGGGCAGGCAGGAGCTGGGGAGGTCTGTACATGACAGTGATGGGGGGGGTGAAACGAGGGGGTAAGCCAGGGGGGACAGCGTATGGAGGCTATGGCCCCCCCCAACCCTCTGCCCTTCCCCCCCAGGATCACCTCCCCCCTGCTCCTCGTGGCGCTGGCTGTCTTCTTCGGGGCCTGTTACCTCATCTACCTGCGAACCCAGCAGTCCCGCCTGGTGCTGTTCGGTGAGTGGGGGCCCGGGCCCACCCCTCTGGGGGCGCCAGCCGCCATCCGGCCCCAGGGTGGGGGGCTGGCTTGCGGGGGCCCGGGCCCACCCCTCTGGGGGCGCCAGCTGCCATCCGGCCCCAGGGTGGGGGGCTGGCTTTCGGGGGCCCAGAGCCCGTCCCCTCCAGGGGGCTCCGGCTCCCATCCGGCCCCAGGGTGGGGGGCTGCCTTGGGGGGACTGTCTGGGCTCCCCCTCAGCCCCCCTTTCTCTCTCTCCCCCCCAGGCCGGGAGCTCAGCATGGCTCACCAGTACGGCCTGGCTGGGGGCGTCTCCTTCCCCTTCTTCTGGCTGGCGGGGGCCGGATCTGCCGTCTTCTGGGTGCTGGGTGAGTGACCCCCTCCCCTCTTCCCAGCCCCCATCAGCTGCTGCCTGTGGAGGCTTGTCAGGGGGGCGTTTGGGGCACAGACCCTGCAGAAAGAGCTCAGTGTGGGGGAGGGGAGACACCCCCCCCCCCCGTGGGCTGTTCCTCTCCAGGCAGTCGGGGGGTCAGTGGGGGAGGTTTGGGGGGCAGATTGACTGGGGTGTGGGGTGCAGCAGAGGGAGGGGATTGAGGGGCAGCTGGGGGGGAGGAGGGGGGGGTTGGGGGCACTGGGGAGGGCTGGTGGCAGAGGGGCTACGGAACTGGGGTGCAGAGCGGGAGGGGCTGAGGAGTTGAGATGCAACAGCAGGAGGAGAGGGGCTGGAAATCTGGGCCATATATGGGGTGCAGTGGGGGAGGGGAGGCGGAGCTGGGGGCAGCTGGGGTCTATGGGGGGCAGCGGGGGAGGGCAGGCGGAGCTGGGGGTCTATGGCGGGCAGTGGGGGGACGGTGTCGCTGTCTCTCTGATACCCCCGTCTCTCTGTCGCCCCCGGCAGGTGCCACCCTGGTGGTGATCGGCTCCCACGCTGCCTTCCATGAGCTGGAGTCAGGGGAGGCTGACGAGCTGCAGATGGAGCCTGTGTGATGGGGGTTCTGGGGCCCCCTTGCCAGCCCCTCTTCTGGCAGCACCTGCTGGGGTTCTGGGGCCCCCTTGCCAGTCCCCCTTCTGGCAGCACCCCCTGGGGGGGCAGGGACCCGCCAGATCATGGTCACTCTTTGCTGCCATTTCTACCAACCTCTCAGACATCCCCGCTCCCCGGATCCCCCCACTTCTCCCTTTCTGGGCTTCCCTCTTCTGGAGTTCCCACCTGATTTCCCCAGCCCCCAAAGTCCCCCACTGTAGGGGTCCTGCTCCGGACCAGGGTGTCGCTTTCACGGTCCCCCGTTTCCTCACACTGTCAATTTGACCCTGGGCTTCCCGCACTGCTGCCCGGGCTGGGGTCACCCCGCCCCCCATTTCACCCCCAGGAGTGACTCTGTGTCTGTGTCTTTCCCCATTAAAGGCAGTGTTGGGGAGTGGAGCTGGCTGCCATGTGGGGTTGGGAGTGCGCAGGGGGGGGCAGCAAATGGGTCCCCCTGCGCCCATCCAGTGCCCCCAAGAGACCTGTCCCTCCCTTGGCTTTGGGGCCCCGGCCCCTGTGGAAACCCCCTGAATTGTCTTCAGAGCCGTGCGCAAACCCTGGCGGGGGGCCGTGATGCCTCCTGGGGCGTGGCCTGGGGGCTGGGCAGGTGGGGCTGGGCCTGAGGGCAGCGGGAGTGAGGGGCTGGGGGCAGTCGGGGGCACAAGAGGTTCCCCAGGTCCAGTCTGGCCCATTGAACCACGGTGACCCCTTCATTCCCCAGCCGGGGGTGCCTGTTACCCTGCTCGGCCGGCCGCAAGGCCCCCCCACTACCCATGTGGGCCCCCGACCAGCCACATGCACTGCAGCCAGGGTGACCCCCACAGATTCACAGCCCCAGCCTTGTCCGCAGGAGCCGGTGCCTCGTGCTCATGGCGGAGCTGGGGGGACGTGGGGGGCCCCCGACGCAACCCGCAGACAGGCAGCCTGAGCGCACGATGCAGCCAGGGGCCAGACCTGAGGGTAACCAGGTGATTCCCAGGCCAGAGGGCCCGCAGGGGGGTCCTGACGTGGGAGGAGCCGTTCCAAGCTCGGGGACCGGCAGAGAGGGAGTCGCGGAAATGCGGAGAGGGAGCGTCGGTCTTTGTCCGGTGGTTTCGGTGGCGGGATTCGAGCTGTGACGGTCGCTGGCGTCGTTCGCGGAGCCGAGCGCGGGGGTCTCGGGGGGAGGAAATGCCGTCGCTCCAGGCCCCCTGCAGTCAGACGGCGCTTGGGACGGTTCCGGGCGAGAGGCTGTCGGTTACCCTGGAGAAGCCGGGGATTAATCTGAGAATGGGAAGGTGGGTAAGGAACTGGAGACAACAACGGGTCGCACTGAAAGGGGAACGGCCAGGCTGGAGGCAGGCAACTGGCGAAGCTCCTCAGGGATCCCTCTGGGACCAACCTTATTTCGCGTTTTCATTACTGACCTTGGCCCAAAGTGTGGGAATGGGCTAATCAAATTTGCAGATGGCAGAAAGTGGGGAGGCATTGGCGGTGCGGGGGAGGATCGGAGTATTGCACAAGATGAGCTGGACAACCTTGTAAACTGGAGTAACGGAAAGAGGATGAGATTGAACAGGGAAAAGTCCTGCATTTAGGCCCTGTATTTAGGGACTAACAGCAAGAATGTTTTGCTCTAAGCTGGGGCCGTGTCAGTTGGAGGGGCCGAGGAGGAGAAACACCTGGGTGTGTCACTGATCGCAGGCTGACTCTGAGCTGTGAGTGTGATGTGGCTGTGAAAAGGGCTAATGCCATCGTGGGGTGCACCAGGCGCAGGATTTCCAGTGGGGACAGGGAGGTGTTCGTACGAGGCCCTGGGGAGACTCATCTGGAACAGTGGGTGCGGTGCTGGGCTCCCGTGTGTAAGGAAGATGAATTCAAGCTGGGACGGGCAGAGAAGGGCCACTAGGATGATCCCAGGACTGGAAAACCGACCTTGAGAGGAGACGCGAAGAGCTCGGCTGGTTTATCCTGACCAGACGCAGGCTGCGGGGAGCTCGGCTCGCTCTCTGTAGATGCTGTCACGGAGTCCCTGGGCGATGCTCTGGAACTGCTCCCCATGAAGCCAGTCAGGACTCTGGGGCAGTCGCCTTTCTGTGAGCAGCCTGTCTTCAGGACACACAGCTCACCCGGCTTCCCCCTTCCTGGGTCTGACCTCGGAGCATTCAGCGTCCTCTGCCCCTCTGTGCGCTTCCCCCAGCGAGTCCGCCTAGGCGGGGCTCCTGGGGAAGCCAGAGGGTCCTGCCCCCCAACTCCGCAGTCAGACGTGACTCTCAGCCAGCCAGTAAAACAGAAGGTTTATTAGACGACAGGAACATGGTCTAAAACAGAGCTTGCAGGTGCAGAGAACGGGACCCCTCAGCTGGGTCCATTTTGGGGGGCAGTGAGTCAGACAACCCCGTCTGCACTTCACTCCATGTCCCAGCCAGCCCCCAACTGAAAACCCCTCCAGCCCCTCCTCCTCTGGGCTTTGTTCCTTTCCCGGGCCAGGTGGTCACCTGATTCCTTTGTTCTCCAACCCTTCAGCTCTCACCTTGCAGGGGGGGAAGGGCCCAGGCCATCAGTTGCCAGGAAAGAGGGTGTCGGCCATTCTCTGTGTCCAGACTCCTGCACACACCTGCCCTCTAGGGCTCTGCAATGATCATACACCCTTACTCCACCCCCTAGATACTTAAGAACTGCCTAGGGGAAACTGAGGCACCCCCACACTATTCAGAGGAAACATTAAGAACAGTCCCACTTCGTCACAGTGTCACCTGGACCCAACCCCGCTCCTGGGCTCAGGTTACAGGCTCAGGTATCATCCCTCCAGTGAAGTCTCCCCCTGAGATCCCATCCCCCATGCAGACAGTCCCAGTAAAACTCCCTGCGCCATCCCCAGGTCAATCCTCCCCGCTCCCTGCTGCATCACAGAGCCCCCTCAGGGAGTCCCCTCGCTCTGGATGCCCGGGGCTCCCACTCCCAGAGGGAATAATGCCCCTGTTCTCTGAGCGACTCTCAGCCAGCGTAACTGTGATGAAGTGGGACGGTTCTTAATGTTTCCTCTGAATACTGTAGGAGTGCCTCAGTTTCCCCTAGGCAGTTCTTAAGTATCTAGGGGTGGGATAAGGGGGTGTAATTGTTGCAGAGCAAAGGGCCAGGGTCGACACTCTGTCTCCTGGCAACTGATGGCCTGGCCCTTCCCCCCTGCAAGGTGAGAGCTGAAGGGTTGGAGAACAAAGGAATCCGGTGACCTCCTGGCCCGGGAAAGGGACAAAGCCCAGAGGAGGGGGGCTGGGGGGAGTTTCAGTTTGGGGCTGGCTGGGACATGGAGTGAAGGGCAGACGTGGTTGTCTGGCTCACTGCCCCCCAAAATGGACCCAGCTGAGGGGTCCTGTTCTCTGCACCTACAAGCTCTGTGTTAGACCATGTTCCTGTCGTCTAATAAACCTTCTGTTTTACTGGCTGGCTGAGAGTCACGTCTGACTGCGGAGTTGGGGGGCAGGACCCTCTGGTCCCCCCAGGACCCCGCCTGAGCAGACTGGCTGGGGGAAGCGCACGAAGGGGCAGAGGAGGCTGAATCTCCGAGGTCAGACCCAGGAAGGGTGAAGCCGGAGGAGCTGTGTGTCCTGCAGACAGGCTGCTCCCAGAGAGGAGACTTCCCCAGAGTCCTGCCTGGCTTCATGGGGAGCAGCTCCAGAGCATCGCCCGGGGACCCCGGGATAGTAACACAGGAGGGGTTAGTGAGCGTCTGAACCCAGCACAGGAAACTCTCCAGCCTCAGCCTGGCCTCCCCCATCACAGCCCAGTCTCCGCTGCATCCAGGGGGGCTCTGCCTGCCCCCTCCCTCTAGCCCCGAGCCCCCCTGCTTCCCTGCTGGGCATCTGCTATCACCGGCCCCAAGCCCCCCCTCTGTCCATTGTCTCCTCTCCCGGTAAACAGGTTGCCTGGGCCCCCTCTCCCCTCTTCTGTCCTCTGGCCGCTCTGGCTGGACCCGGCTGCTCTGGTCACCGGGGTCCCCGCAGCCCCTTGTCCTCCCACTGGCCGAACTGGCTGCGACTCCCGAGCTGGACTCCGGGTCCCCAGGTCCCCAGTCGCTGGGGTCTCCATTCTCCAGGCCATTGGCCGGCGCCCCAAGTTCCCTCGCTGGCCCTGTGTCCCCACAAACTCCCTCTCCCCTCCCCTCGTTAAACCCGCAGCACCCAGGGAAACTGAGTCCCACCCCCTCTGCATGCAAACTCCTGGGAAAACAAGGAAAAAACGTGATAAATCCCCCACTTCATCATGACGTCACAAGGCAGATTTTGTACCAAATTTTCCACGCGCTTGTCAACGTGACAGCTCATCGGCGAGGAGCACGACAGCCCCAGCAGGGCGGGAGCCACCTCAGGTCCGTGGGGCTACACTGGGAAAGGCTGGTTTGGGGGCAGTGATTCGGGGCATTGCCGCAGCACCAAGCAGTCAGGGGGCAGAGCCCTGGCAGGACCCGGCCGCAGGTGCCAGGCTGGGGGCACCCCACGGCTGCTGCCCCCTCAAGCCATGTGTCAAGGGGTCCCTGCACCTCCCACTCTGCCTCTCCCCATGGCAGCAGGGGGCACCCAGCCCATTGGGCAGGAGCCAGCAGGAGCCAGAGGCCAGCCATGTGGCGTAGGGATGGGGGGACGTGTGGGGTCCAGGCTGGGTCAAACCCCAACTTGACCCTCTCAGCTGGGCCCTGAATGTGGCCCCTGGCCGGGCTCCCCACACCCTGCACCTTTCCTGGGGGCCAGGCCCACGGGGGAGAGCCTGGAGCCGAGCCCTGAGCTGCCCCATTCGGAAGGGGGCCACGAACCCCACCTCCCCCTCGAGGGGGGACGCATCGCACTGGCCCAGGTCCGGGCACCTCCCACTGTGCGGTGGGGGGGTCCAATCCCCATGTATGAGAGACGGAGCGCGACCCCCAGCGAGGGGGCAGGGGGACCAGGGGGTCCGGTCAGCTCTGCTTTGGCCCTGCTGCCGGGCTCGGTGGGCCCCCAGCAGCCCCGGTCTCACTGGCAGAGCCCTGCAGGGAGCCCCCATGCCCCACTCACGCCCCCTCCCAGGGACTGGGCTGGTCGCAGGCTCCCCTCGCTCTGCCCCAGTTCCCCACTCCCCAGGCCTGCTCCTGGCTAGGGCCTGTTGGGAGGATATGGGGGGCGGCTCCGGCCCCTTGGAGGGCACGGACCCCCCCCCCCAGCTCCACTGGGGTAGCCCTGGTCTGAGCCGGGGCCCCGAGAGCAGCCCCCAGGGACGGGCTGAGTTAATGCTCCTCGCCCCCAACCCACAGCCCCCCACCAGCTCTGTTAAGGCTGGTCAGTGGGGTGGGGGTGGGGGGCTGGGAGCTAGGACGCCTGGGTTCTTTCCCAGCGACAGCCTCGTTCTCAGGCTCTGCCCAACAACGTCAGTATCAGTCATCCTCTGTT